TATGAATTTCCGGTCAAACACACACACCGACACACACACACACAAACACACACACAAACACACCGACACACCAACAGACACACTTAGCGAATTATATAAAGTAGGATATATCGCATGTATGATGAAAATATAAGTGTCATAAGCTTCGGTTTAGCATCAGAAGGAAGTGGAAGCGAAGGCTACCAAACCCGAGGAAGAATCACCAGGTCCAGTAGGAGAAGCACCCAGCTGTTGTGAGCTAAAAGGGGTGAGAACCTTACTAATGAATACGCTTACTCTTGAAAACGAATTGAAGAACTTTGTTTAGGATAATCAGAAAGATTCAGAGCTATTGGGATTTACTTTGGAAAAAACTTTAACGGTAAAAATCCTATTAGCTCAGTCATGATGCCGGAATCAACTGAAACGATACATTCAGGAACTAGAAAAGGAAGAGTGGTACCACGGCTGTCTACCACTTGAAGATATAGTCGGTTTACTAGAACATGAGGGGGATTTTCTCATAAGAGGACCCGATGCACAGGAGGAAAACGATGGAGCATCAAATACTGTGGTGAGAACGAGAAGGTTTTAGTGGAACCAGTAAACAAGAAAACATTGATCAGAGGAAAACCAGTATTCTAAGCATCTGAGAAGAAATGAAACTACTAAGAGAAAAAACAAAAATACATAGAGATTGTTTTCAAATGAATCCCAATCGATTCGCAGGCATGGATTACTGTAAAATGTGGGGATGATGTACAAGACTTCCCTGTTCGCTATAAAATTGTCAACAAAGAACATATCTTCTCAATCGATGGTACTAACAAGAAAGCTAATATTATGGAGTTAATAAAGTAAGTATCAGCAGTGCCTATCAGAATAAAGACTTTCTTAGAGAATTCCCCCGAATTAAACTGAAGCGAAAAAAGCCTTTATAATAGTGAGCATAATTAATTCAGAAGGTGGCCACGATTATATCTCCGAACATATTTCAGCAATCAGTATGCCCCATACAGCCTATCCATAGAATGCTTCCAAGCCCATAGTTCGGTAGAATTATAGGCACGGAAATTCGGTGGTGTAGGGGCAAGTAGTGCACTTTATACACGCATGGTCACATGTTCGGGTTTCGGATCGGTTTTCGCCTAGGAAAACCAAGCTTCCCATCCCTCTGAGGTCGGTTAGTCGGTACGGGACTCGTCTGGGAGGATAAAAGCATTGACTTGCACATCGGCTGGCCACCGCAAGTCATTTTATACGCCTCATACGCATTCAATACTCTACTACGATTCTGAATGGAAATCGAGTGCGTGGGCGAATCCCTCAGACGGAATTGATTACCGGCCCAAGACTTTGTTCTTCTACTCAGCCAAAAATGTTCAAAACTGCCTTCCGCTGTCGCCATGGGCCAAGACAATTGTTTGAATACCCGACATTAGATTTCCCTGTGATTGATGCAGCCCCTACAACGCCGTTGCCCGCCTTTGGGTGTGGCATACAGCCGACACGATTTTGGACCCTTTTGACGCCCCATTTGGGCCATTTCCTGACCTGACAGCGACACACGAGTGGCACGAGTGGCATGGTCTCATCCTATGGAAATATCTCAGTAACCATTTTTATAGCGAACTCTGACTATGTAAGAGAAACCCTTGGCAAACCTGTGGCGTTCTCTGAGAAGGACTTTTTACTCTTCAGAATCGCGCTAGAAATTGTTCTGCAAACTTTCGAGATGCTCCTTCAATCAATACGCTTTCATAGATTTTTCTTGAGACTAACATCTATTTACTGTCACACAATTCACTCAACTATTCTTTAACGCTGAAAAAAATGCAAATTTTTGCAAATTCTGCTGGAAAAAAAATGCAAATTTTAAGATTTCATCATTCAAGTGCGACTCCCGTTAAAGATAAAGTCATACTGAAGACACCTATTCCGAAACAACAATGGGAATTGAGAAGTGACAAGATTAAGTTAACTGAAAAGATTGGTGCCGGTGCTTTCGGTGAAGTGTGGCTTGGAACACTGGAAGAGAACCCGGATGATCCTCCACTTCAGGTCGCTATCAAATTGGTGAGTTTACAATAAAGTTTTCTAGGAAATTATTGAAAAAAAGATGTCGGATGTCGAAATCAACGTTATGAAGGAATGGCTTTGATTCCTACAGTTTTAACCCGTTTGAGACTTCCTACCGTTCAAATGGTAGCTCATTGAACTGATTAAAATGGGTTCCAGTAGTTGGAATCAGCTGGTTGCTCAGATTGTGATTTACTCTTCATACACGATCAGAAATGATCAACATAAACAAGTTGTTTTCCTTGGTTAACATGAAAGATTGCAGAAAAAAGTCAACAAGGAGAATCAAGCGAAATTGGATGAAATGTATCGAGAAGCTCGTCTTATGAGGCAATACCGACACAAGTGAGAGTTCACGATGTCAACCGCTCTAATATATGAGGATTCACTTTCTCTTACTAGTTTGGCGACTTGTCTTTTCCGCCTACCAGCAGAATGATGATCGTTATGAAACGCCGCCAGAAGAAGTTCGCTCGAAATAGCAACGAGCACCATCAATGGGTGCTTTCGCAGTTCAGCGGTGTGCACCCTTTCACTGACCGAGCGACCGACCGGCGGCGTTGCTGGTCACGTGCCGAAAACGCTGGATAGATTGCGTCCAGGGCGTGTGAGCGGTATACGTAGAAGTCCAGTGTCGTCAAGACGTGGCCAACAACGCCAACAACGTCGGTCGGTAGGTCGAAACGTCGAAACAGAACTCCGAAAACGCAAAATCTGACGCTCCTCGTAGGCCGCTTCCTCTGAGTTTGGGAACCCGTTGCAGGTCTACTGGATGATCATCTCCTCCCTTCGCCTTCTAGGCACATTTTTGTACCCTCCCAGCCCTCGCTACAGCAAACGGAGCACCTATAAGTAGCACAACAAATCAAACTGATCGCCAGAAATTCTTTATAGTTTTTGAGCATTGACGGCGGTAATTTTGAGATAATTCTGTAGATTCAAGTAAAATCTGCGGACGAGGTGTTTATGTTGTACTGCAGGTTGAGATGACAACACCAAAGGTCTCCCTTTACAGAAATGTGGTTAGATTTTATGGAGTCGTACTAAAGAGTGCCGAAAGCGCGATGATTGTTATGGAGTATGTTGATGGAGGCGCACTGAATGATTACTTGAAGAAAAACACAAACGTAAGTCTCACACAATTGGCGGTTGTGGGCAAAACTTCGGCCTCGGATGGGTATCGAGCACTTGGACTATCCGAGCACCGCGCTCTCCATCCCTCACACCACACCATCCAGACCACCCTACCCCTCGCGCTCTTGATGGCTTTTAAATCACGTTCAGAAGCGAGGTAAGAGAGGTCAATAGAACATCAGAACAACCCTAAGTTCAAAGTCTGAAGTCTTGAAAGTCCCAGGGCGCTGATCAATCCCTTCCGAGGGATGCGCCCACGCACTCGACCTTCATTCAGGATCTTAGTAGCGTAGTATGCGTATTTGGCTTGCGGTGGCCACCCGATGTACAAGTCAGTGCTATCATCCTCCCAGACGAGTCTGGTACCAATTAGCCGACCCTGGAGGGGTGGAGGGTGTGGTTGGTCTGGTCTGATATCGACACGGGATTCGAACCCGTGACCATGCATTGTGATAGTGTGCCACTTGCTACTACACCACCTTCACCCATCAAAAAAAAAAGTAAGAAAAAGAAAGAAAGACCGGTAAAAAGAAAGAAAGGTCAGTAAAAAGAAAATGAAGAAAATCATCCGCAAGACCAGGATGTTAAGGTGAATGTGAAAACGCGGATCAGTTACGCAATCGACGCTGCAACCGGTCTCGCCTATTTACATGCAAAATCGTGTATGCACAGGTAAGATGAGTTTTGAACAAAAATTGACAATAACATGTTGTACGAACATGTTAGCTTCTAAAGTTCACGGACCTTGTGGTACAGTAATATGGGCTGGGCTGTGAGTCCTGACTTGAATGTCTGGTGAATACGTAAAACAGCCCTGGACCTAATGACCAATTCACCCGCAACCATGCTCAGGACCTTTTCTTCATTGCGCCGTATTGGTTAAGAGTTTCTTTGGACGTCTGGTGCCTCTCTTATTTCACTGTATGTGATAACTGTATCACAAAGTCCATGGACTGCAGTATGTTGGGTTATCAATTTTGACAGTATCTAAGCGGTTCACTTGTTAGTACTATAAATCTGCGCACACACTGAATGCTTGGGTATCCCTCATATCTTCAACCTACCCAACTTGTACAGAAGGCATACTTGGCTCAGGGCCTATCTATGCTTATTTGTGTATCACTGCCTTATGTAGGGCAATAGATAAACAAATAAGTACATAAACACTTTCATTATTCGATTTATCGATGCAGGGACGTTGCATGTCGGAACTGTCTTATCGACGTATCGAAAGGTATTGTAAAACTTACCGATTTCGGTTTGTCAAAGCAAGCAGAATCCTATACTATCCCCAAGGATGAAAAGCTCCCGATACGATGGTAAGCAGACTTTCATGAGAAGCAAAATATAATGATAATTTCGCTTAATCCATAAAAAAAATTAGGCATACCTGATGGGAAAATTGTTCTCTCATTCCGACAAGCTTGCTAGAGGCGACTTTTCTCAGAGATCTAGCATTCAAACGAAATTTTTGCTCATCTCCAGCCTCATCGCTTTCGTCACATCTTAAAAGTCGAAAAGTCAATTGAACTAAAACCTTCGGACCCATCAATACAGGAGTTCATGAATGGCTTACATTTGCCTATTTCGCCAGAGCGATTGAACGACCAACCGAGAATGAACTCCTTCGTACAGGAGCAGGCCCTCTTACTGACTTCACAGAAGCTTGTAGAGGTCGAAGAAGTGCGCGAGGCCACGGGTCATGGCCGTCACTCTTAATTCCTGTTAATTCGGAGATTCCTGGCCACCAATTCAACACGCCGCAAATGTTTTCCGCGTAGTAGTCTCTGTCGGGAGACGGGCGCTAGGAACGATTCTGGGTAATCGATCCGCCGCACGCGGCTGTCGCGGACCACTCATTCGCCGTTACTACAGCTCAAGCGTTCTTGATACAGCTCAATCGATATGCGATCATTATTTTATGCATAATTCTACTACTAGTGCTTTTATTCTTGTATTCTTTCCTACTGCAGCATCCCGCTAGATTCCTTCGCGCGCGGCGTCCCTCTCACCGCGATGCGACAATTTCGTTCCTAATGCACCACACCCGTCTCTGTCTAGTGACAAATGTATCCTGAAATCGTAGATTCTTCACCTTCGTACCCTACCTAGAATACTCTTGCAATTGAATCTACGAAGTTACCCTATGTAGCACCCTGATAACATGATAACATGGCTAACCCTAAGCATTTGACATAGCCCGAACCGCGCCCTGCAATTCGTTTTGGAGCCGGTTAGTCTGCAACGATGTATTGGCAAGAAAATGCCAAAAAACCATTTTGTTTGGAGAGTACTCCGAAACGAACGTATTCAGCTCAAACCCGCTGAACGTTTCCAGTTCCACAAATTTGCTCAATACTGAAAATGTCCGTCAGTGACCGTTCGGTAAAGGCGATACCGTATTTCAGGCAAGCTCCTGAAGTTATTGCGACACGAGTATACACATTAAAAAGTGACGTTTATTCGTATGGGGTACTCCTTTGGGAAATTTTCAACAACGGTGAAGCACCATATAAAGGAATGGATAATAAAGCTGTCAGAGAAAATGTGAGGCAAATTTGGCACTGTTATTCTTCAGAGAACTTCTTAGAAGTTACCGCGACAAACTTGACCGTCAGAATCCCTCTTCGAACCCCTCTCAAAAAGATATGTTCCAGATACTTGATCCCAAATTCCGTCCGCCAACTGATGACTCTCTTCCCATCGTTGTCAGTAAAGTGATGTTGACGTGTTGGAGAGCAGACCCCGCAAAAAGGCCGACAATGGCTCGAATCGTTCAGTACCTTACAAATGCTCGTCCAGAACAGTGAGTGATATTGACAATGTACAAATATGTACACCCATAGGAGTCTACTAGGTGCCCGCACAGACATGGCGTACACAGTATTCTGCCTCATGAGCTCCTCTCTTACCGTAGAAGAGCTCGTGAAGCAGAATACCTCGTTAACCATGCCGGTGTGGGTAGAGATGGTACACCCTCCATGGCGAGACCCTAATTTTTTCGAGGAAATTGTGATGTGATTTTTCGATTCTTAGACTTCTACCAAGATCTGAGCTTGCCAAACGATCGCCATCTCCAACGCGAGATGCTCCATCTGTATCGCGAGAATCTCAGAAACGTTTACGTTCCAGAGGAGGTGAAATGGTAAGCATTTCTACGATGATTTTGTTAGGTACCCACTTACTGACGGTGCCCACAATTGAAGAGCTTCCGAGAAGATTCCCAGCCTTTCCCATGTGTTCACTCTTTCATCTGAATAGCAAGAATTCTAAAAATATCCGATAAAAAAGGGTGTCACTCCTTCCCTCGACATAATTCCAATGAATTTTTTAAAGAAGGCAAATCGTGATTTAGTCGACAAAAAATCCTAATGACCTTCCATTTCTCTTGGCCGTTTCTGCTACTGAACTGCACTCTCCGACACGGCCTTATTGAGCCTCCATCATAATATAAAGAAGTAACCGTAGCCTTATTGGGATCATCTTCTGGCCGAGAGTGGGTAATTAAGTGGTTCCATAAGGTGATCCTGACACGAATGAGGCTATGGTAACCAAGAAGCGGATTGAGGTTTTGCTCTCGAAGGAGCGCCTTTCCCCTGTGAGAAAAATAAGGAGGAAAGCCCGTCGATGAGGCATTATATCCTGAGTGGTTATCTGAAAATAAAATTTAGACCATTACACGTTGTTACTGTCGTCTAGCCAGAACTCGGTCACCATCCATTCCCGCCCTGTAGGTCTAGAAATAAGGAGGATGCGTACGAATCCGAAACAGCGAAGGGGGAGATGGTTCGCTTTTTTGGGCTCTCCAAGACCGTTGCGCGCGCAAACTTCGCTTTCGGACGCGAATCCATGGGCCTGGCGCCTCCTGACCCACATCCATCTTCTGACCTCTGCTGCATTGCCAACATGACTTTTCTACCAGATCAAATCAGATAACAATCTCACCATCTATGATTTCTTTGGAATAAGAATGTCATAGATTGCTCTTTTCTCAGTGTACTCTAAAAAGACAGTTTCTATGGGTAGACTATTTGCAGCTTGCGAGAGGCGTGAATATCATACGGCATCCGGCTGAAATGGTTCGACAACGCCCATCATCAGCTTCTGCCTCGAAGCAACGATCGAGAAAAAGCGAAGACGGGAAGTCTCCAAGGAAATAGAGAGATCAACACAGAATGCACAAATATTGACCGAAATTTACTTCATAATAATACATGTCACCTTTCTCGCTCACTCAGATACAGGCTTAAAACAAATTCTGTTCTGAATTCGCTGGCAATCATTTATGTTCGATCATTCATCATTCATGATGAAAGTTCAAGAAAATTGCCAATTCGTTTGAGTATGAGATCACAATATCACTTCCGAATTTTAACAATGAAAGAGAAATAAGGACTAGCGACGTTCGAAGTTGTATAGTCAGCCCCCCGGTCAGATACCTGCCCAGTCAGGCTGCACCTTCTGTTCTTCCCGCATTGGTGCCGCTTGGAAGGATTTGTGTCTGCTCATAGAGCCAAGTTGTCTACCGCTTGAACTATTACTACATCACCGATTCCTCAAGAACGAAGTAGCAACCCGTGCAATAAAGTTCTCCTCCTCTACTATAACCGCATCAATTCGCCTCAGTTTGAAAGTAATTGAAAGAACGCTGTGCTATACGTCGACCAGTTCACTCTCTAGGTGCTTCCAGCGCTCAACTTCCACTCAGAGGCGATCGTGTTTGTAAGGGAAGCAGGGTTTAACAATGAGCTGTAGAGGCCGCTGATATACAAGACTCCATTTCCATAAGTTCAAATGAGCCCACTACAAACTCATAGACTTTAAAAAACTTGCCTGGCTTGAACTGGTTTCGAATTTGGATTCGGGTTTCTCATACGTCAGTTAGCGGCAGCATTGAGCACTGCTCTACCTCAGCCTCGCAGAAGGACGGTCCTCGGTGATATGATTTGCGGCGATTCCATTCAGTAGACGAGTCGTTTCTGTAAACTCTGTAAATAAAAAACGAAACTTTCCGAGACCTCCACAAAGATGGGAGTTTTCCTGACACGAAGGCAAAAATGTGAATCGAATTTTCGGAAAAACATAAGCAACGTACGAAATAGGCACAAATCTAACGTCAACACGCCAAACTAGCGACTAAAAACTACTAAACTTACATGGAGAGTAATTGGGTTCTTGTGGAGTGACCGTTTTCTGATCGCATAATAATTTCGTGTTTTATACTTATTGAATCTTGACCACTAAAGAAAAGTGGGAGGAAGACTTCTATGCTTCTATGGAATGAGGTCTATGGGTAAAGATCAAGGTTCGGGGGATATTTCCTCTGGAAGCTCGAGAAATCGCCGCTACCAAAAAAGCTTACTGTGGTCAGCGTAACACAACATCCAAATTCTTATAAAGAATGATTACACCATTATATTCGCCTCTCAAGAAATTGAGGTCTGAATATCCCCTGAGCCTACTTTAGCTCACGTTTTGTATAGCCCAGCACTTCATGATTCCATCAAGATACAGTGAAATCGACGTCACCTTGTATACATACATTTGAAGCGGTGCGCTGAAGACGGCAGCCGATTTTACATGCAAATAGACCAATCCATATTTTTTATGTCACATTTACCACAGCCTCCGTGGACAGTAATATGGAAATCACGCAAAAATGACACGTCTAATGCATAAGTAAAATGCCAACAATAATCTTATTCAACATCAACAACATGTTGTAGGTGAACAAATAGAAACACTTCCCACTTTCAGGAATAGGGCTTTTAACAAGAAACTGTAACTAACTGTAAAACTTGAAAGCCTATTTACAAATCTGGCAGTAATTTACAACAAGAGCCACATACGGAATCATTACACCTCATTCTTCTCTCTGGACGGCGAGGTTACCGAAGTAAGCTGTGAGCGTCTTGATTTTTTTGTTCAAGCAACTTTGTTCAATCTCACATCTTCCACCTGGTCCACTCAGTGAAATCAACTAAAAGGAACATCAAAACGAACTTTAGAAAATTGTAAATAGACTTGCGTACCTGTTTTACTTTTGTATTCCTCGGCAAAAAGTAGGCAATATTTGGCGACATCTTCCGCGCGGCTGTGTAAATGTCAAAACCATTGGGAGTGAGATCATCCAAATC